CTGGAGCTGCGTGTCCAGGCCCTTCCACCATTCTCCCTCTCTGGAAAAACTCTTTACTGTCCTCTGAGCCAAAATCTGTTAAAGGTTGTGATTCCTCAGTCTCGTTCCTTCTCCGGGGGCGTCGTTTCTTCCTGTTGTAGCCATCAATGGCACGGTACTGATTCCACCCTCTACCCCTGGAGCCCTGGCTCCACTTCCCAGTCACAGCCCTGATCCCGCTCTCCCTAGAGGCATTGTTTCCAGTCCTCTGCACCTTTCCCCAAGCTCCATTACCACCACTGCTCCTGATAATGGATTCTGATACTATTGTCCTGGGGGTATAGTCTGGGCATTGATACTTAATTTAAAAAAAAAAAGTGTTTTCTTTTTTAAATCTTTCCTGAGTGTTTATAATGTGATGTGTATTACCACGGTTGAAAGTCACTGCTATAAATGCTAGTTAGGTTTGAGGATTCTATTAGAAGTTGAGTTCCACTTTATTATGAATTAAATTAGCTTTTGAGGATTGGCCTGAGAATCTAACCACTATTTTAAAATTTGTTTCTTTGGGAAAATGTGTTCCAATTATAAACAGCTAATTGCAAACTGACTGGAAACTTGCCAGTGAGGAAATGCTGGTCAGCAAAGGTATATCATCTATTTTTTTTAAAGTTTATTTGTTTAATTGAAATAAAGTTGATTTACAATATTGTATTAGTTCCAGGTGTACAGCATAGTGATTCAATATTTTTACAGATTATACTCCACTTAAAGTTATTTAAAAAAATGGCTCTATTTCCCTGTGCTGTACCATGCGTCCGTGTTGCTTATCTATTTTACACATAGTAGTTCATATCTTTTCATCCCATACCTCTCTCTTGCCCCTCCTCCTTTCCCTCTCCCCAGGGGTAACCACTAGTTTGTTCTCTAAATCTGTAAGTCTGTTTCTGCTTTGTTACATATACATTCATTTGTTTTCTTTTTTTAGATTCCACATGTAAATGATAACATACAGTATTTATCCTTCTGTGTCTGAGTTATTTCACTAAGCGTAATACCCTCCAGGT